GACACAGTACGAAAACACGCACAAGCCAGCTACTTATGAACTTTCATTTAGGAAACAATCTAGTACTGAAAGCTCAGGAAACTGAAAACTTCCACATCTGGTATTGTAGGAGATGCACACAGTCCACATCCCGAGATAGGAGCCACCCAACTGCCAAGAGTTCAGCCTGCCAGAACTGACCTTAAACACGTGATCCAGCAGGCCTCCCTGGGTGGTTCTGCCTGTCCCAGACCAAGGGATTCTTGGTTCTACCTAGATGACCCCCTAAAGCCCCCTGGGATCACAGACCTTTGGAAGGTGACTGGTTTACAAGGACAGCAGAGCTGACTTGCTGTTAGGAGGTGGGGCCCGGTGGGAAGAGGTGTCACTGGGCGTGGCCCGCAAAGCTCCTCTCCCTACTGGCCCCTCCCTTCTCTCTGCTTCCTGTACCCCATGCTGTGAGCAGCTCTCCTCCGCCAGGCCCCTGTGCTGTGCTGTGCTGTCCTGCCTTGGAGCCGGCAGACTGTGGACTGAAATGAGCCCATGTAAACCTTTTCTCTTATGTTGTGGGTGTTTTGTATTGTGTCCCAGCCAGGAGGAAAGTAACTGAGAGTACACATCACCGATCTAATCCATCGAACACTTCAAGGACGTCTTTATTCTTTCATTTCTGTTTCACAAATAAGGAAACAGTCATGGAGAGGCAAATGGCCTTACTTTCATGGTGTCCATGTTCAAAGCTCCAGCTGCTGCACCAACACCAGCACACTGCCATCTTGGTTCTCCCAGTTCTGCTGGCTGGGCTTCTGGGCTCAAGGCAAGCAGCTGTGTCCAGACCTGCTGAGGAGTCTTTCAGGCTTGTAGACGGCCACCTTCTCACTGTGTTCTCAGCATGTGTTCTCTCCCTCACATTGGCTGCAGTCTTAGCAGATTAGGGTCTCCCTCTATGACTGCAGCCATATTCACCTCCACAGTGCTCCATCTCCAGAGGTGGTCACTGTGAAGTCAGGGATCCAATCTACCAATCAGGGAGGTACACACCGGTCCGTGGCGACCTCAGGGCTGGTGAGAGGAGGAGCTGGGGCTGGACAGGGAGGTCAGACCTCGCAGCCATGTGCTTAGCCCCTGTCCTCTGCAGTGCCCTCCCCAGAGCTCTGACAGACACCATGCCACCCTCCCTCTGTGGGGTGATTTCTCTTTCTTTCTCTTTTGCTGTGTTCGTCTGAAGACCAAGAGAGCAGCTTCCTAGCTGAGCAGGTGGAAATATTGTGCTTGACAACTCGGCTCGGGTTCTCACAGCTGGGCAGCTCAAACCTCTCATCTTCCAGGCAGAAGTGTCAGGAAAAGGGATGGGCGCAGGGCAGCAGGGAGGCAGCAGTGGAGGACGCTGATGAGGAGCAGACGAAGCCCCATCCCAGGGCTGCATTTCATCCGCAGAAGGAGCAGAGAGGCGGGTGGGTGCCAGGTCTAAAGTATGTGTCCTTGTGGAAAGTCTTCCCCCAGGACCCAGATGCCAGAAGGAGGGGTCCACACAGCAGGAGTTGGGGTGTGGTGTGGAGGCCCACAGGGAAGCCCAGGCCAAAGGCTCAGGAGCCAGAGGGCCTGGCCTTTGGTCACATCAGGTCACATCACCTCCACTTAAAAGTGAGTGACTCAGATGCCCCATCTACAAAATGGGTAACACAATAAGGGTAGGATAACAGGAAGAAAAGAATGAGGCTGTGAGGAAGACTGAAGAAATAAAGTAATCTAGGCATGGTGGTGAAGCCCTGTAATCCCAGCTCTCTGGGAGGCTGAGGCAGAAAGACTCCCAAGTTCAAGCTCAGCAACTTTGTGATTTAGTGAGACTGTCTCACTAAGGGGGGACTTGAGATGTAGCCCACTGTGAAGGTTCTGAGTTCAGTCCTCAGCACCAAAAGAGAAAAAGAAAGCTACAGGAGACCCACACTGAGAACTCAGGAAATGTTGGCATTTGTTTCCTGCAAGGCTGAGAACTGCAGGGGATGGCAGGTGCCCTTGCAGCTGACCCACAGCTCAGCTGGTACAGGCAGGCCATGGGCTGCTTCTGAGCTCAGCTCTGTCTCTGAGAGACGGGCAGAGTTGTCATGAATGGGATGGTGCAGCAGAGTCTGAGCATGTGGCCAGAAGATTCCCCTGGCTTCTGGAAACAGCTTCAAAGTTCCCTGGAGATCCCCTTCTCTCTCGGTCTGTTCATGAGCCCAGGATCCACCTTCTATTGTCTCATCTTTGTGCTCAGCAGGGGCACCCGGTTCCAGCCAGGTCAGCCACACCTCAGCCTCTACCAGGGCTACTCAGTAGGACAGGGGTGCACATGGAATCCTGGCCATGGAGGTGATGGAGCTAACACAGGGAAGCAGAGAGGGGCCTGGACCACCGGGCTTCTGGACTCCTGCCTTGTAAGAGCCAAGACAGCACCATATGTGCCTGGGTGAGTGTTGGCTTCCCTTCCTATAACCAAACGGATCCTATGCATACAGTGTGTGAAGGCCTCAATACTGACCAGGGGCCAATGACTGCTCCTTTACCCTACTGCTTGAGGGGCTATTGTCAGTCCATCTCTCTGTCTGTCTGCCTGCTTGCCAATCTATCCATCCGTCCATCCATCCATTCATCCACACAAACACTGATCCATCAACCCATCCATCCATTCATCCCAACATTGATCCATTGATTGATCCATCCATCCACCATTGTGTATGCATTTATCTAACCTGTTTACCATCCATCCTTTTCTGACATCAATATATTCATCATATACTTATTATCACCCAGTCTATTCTCATATATATACACATATAACTTCTTTCAGTGAATAATATTGTCACTTACAGAAAATACACTTTCATATCTTTTCTTTTCTTTTTCAAAATGGTCCTAGCAGTACTCAGGGTATTATTGTATCTGTTAACAAGTAAAGAAACAGAGGCCTGGAGAGCTTGAGAGTGCTTTCAAAAGCAAGCAGTGAGCCCCTCTTCTCCTGTTCATGAGGGAATTCAGCATCACTAGAGACCACTGTTGGCAGAGGATTTTCTCCCTTACCCAGAACTCTCATGAAGCAAAAGGCACTTGGCACTAATCTGTTGGTGTCTGAATGTCCAGGACCCTGCCCCAGTGCACACTGCACTCATTCTGACAGGCACCCATCCCTTGGTCCACTCTGAGGAGTCTCTCCTGGAACAGCAAATGGCTCAGCAGCACACACACTGGCAGAGCAATCAGCAATGGACTTGGTTACCCAGATGTGGGGAGAGCAGAGAGGCCAGGCAGCTCTTTGTCTTATCCATAGTAGAGTGTTACTAACCATTGAAAGTGGTTTCCACAGCATTAGCAATGGTGAGCTAAGGCTCCCACCACTAATTTGAAGAAGTTAACCACAAAACTGCTCTGCATTATTCTTTATATCCACAACATAGAGTCAGGATAGCTGTGACAGATATAAAACCCACAAACACATCATGGATAAAAATATATATATGAGGAAAGGGGAATAAAGTGAATTGCATGTCTCAAGTGGAACCCAGGCATGGCAGGATTCGGGCTCATTGTTGCTTTCTTGTATATTTTGTTTTCTGTATTTTGCAAATGGAGGTTACATTTTTACCAGAAATTTATTTTGTTAAATTCTTTTGGTCTAGCTCTCAAAATAGTATGGTTACTTCCCCCAAATGATGGGAGTGTTGGATGAATAACTTTCTGTTCCTACCCACCCTTGATGCCCCATCTCTGGTCTGGGTTTTCCATGTGGAAATGCTGAGTTCAGGCACGCACCACACACACGACTTGATTGTCCCAGATAGGAAGATCTGTGTGCCCTCTTATTCTCCACCCACCTAAGGCTCAAAGTGCCTCTGGGCATGGAAAGCATTATGGTTACTGGAGCCAGTGAGCAGAAAGGACATGGTGGATGTCACCTTCAGGGTTGCCTTGCCACTGCCAAGGTCAGGAGTGAATGCAGCTGCTGAAGGAACCACTCTGAATCCCTTCCTAGAGCAGCCAGTCCTCACTGCTCCACTAAATCCAGCTTAAGAAACTTGGGGGAGCCACCTATTGGATGGTGGGTTAGACTCTGAGAGGGTAGCCAGTAAGTAGACCAGCTTTCTAGGAGGAGGCATTTCTCAGACAGGGTAAGAAATCCAGCAATTCAGGTACTCAGTGACAAAGGCTGTGTTGGGTCCACATGAGAAAGGCAGCGGCCCTGAGGAATGCTCACCCAGCCTGCATGTCGGCCATGGCTCCTGTCCTGGGGGCACCTATGCTGCAGCCAGAAATGTGCAGGAGCTGGCCCGGGACACTGAAGGAGAGGGGGATGCAAGGTTTTCAGGGAAAGGAGATGCCTCGTGGCCACACCTGGCAGTGTGCATCTGTAATCCCAGCACTCTGGGAGGCTGAGGCAGAGGATTGAAAGTTCTAGCCCAGCCTGTCTCAAAATAAAAGACAAAGGTTCTGGAATGTGGATTACAGCAGTCCCTGTGGGCCAGATTCAGCACATCCATGCTGCTGGGCTATCCCTCTGCATGGAGTGAAACTTGGGCTCCCAGTGTCCTCCTTGTGACCAACACAGCAGAAGAGACCTTTTGAAGAGCTGGACTCCCATCAAACGCACTATGTGACAGTTTCATCACATGTCAGGTATTTTCTCAAATGCACAAAACCTTCTCTGCTAAATCTATTTCCTGTCCAGATCACTCAGGGAAGAGAACAGAGTGAAAATGAACATGAAACACAGGCCTAAGACTTGGCAGCCAGTGAAGGCTGCCAGGGCCCTGGACGCTGGAAGCAGGGCATCTCATCCCACCTCACGGCCACACTCACCCAAGCCACTGCACAGTGGGGCCGGACTCACACCCATGAGGCTCGGCCGGAGAGTGAGTCCCTGGGCAAGCCAGGGACAAGCTGTCTGAGACAGGCCTGCCCAGAAATCTGTGCTGAAGCCAGGACGGGCCAGGGCAAGGGGTGCGCCCAGCAGGGATGGGACTCCCGGAGCTGGCGTGGCCACTCACCACAGGTTGACCAGGAACGGGTGCTCCAGCCCCTGCATGATCTGCAGCTCCCGGAACACGTTGCGCACTTCGTCGCGCTCGATGCACTTCTGCTTGTTCATGTACTTCATGGCGTACATCTTCTTCGTGTCGCGCTTCTGCACGATGCACACCTGAGCGACAGAACACGGAGAGCAAGGTCAGCCCCTCCCCGTGCTTCACACCTGGCTCCGGTCTCGTCTGTGCACCAGGGAGTGGAGCAGCTTGGCCGCACCCAAGGCTCCCTGCGCCTATCGAGCACAGTGTGGGACCGGTGTCGCCCTTCAGGGGATGCTTACGCCAAGAATCAGCAACTCTGCTGCGGATGCAGCAGCAGCTTCGGGAGCCAGAAGCCGCAGCCCTGAGGAGAACAGACAGGACGCCATGACCACAGCCTGGAACTCGCGTGTGCACGCCCTGCTGCAGACCATCCCAGTGACCACGGCCCTGGGACATCTGTGGGCTTGCACACTGCGGACCTGTCTGGTGACATAGCCCGGGAGCACATGTGTGCATGGGAGCCATGAACCCTGCATGTGGCCGAGTGACTCCTGAGCCCTCCCCACCGTGGTGCACTCTTGCCTGGCATCCTCTCTCTTCCTGGGGTCACATCCCTCGCAGAGCCCACTTTCTAGCCCAGGCAACTGAGCAGCACAGCCAGAAAATCAGTGTCCTCACCCAAGCCAATGACTAAAGGGATGGGGGCCCAGCACCCGGCACCATTGCTGCTGGGTGGGAAGGCGAAGGCTGGCGTTTCTCACTGCCTGAGCAGCGCGAGTGTGCCAGGCCTGGTGGGGGCCAGGCCTGACTTTCTTCTTCGAACGGGTCCACCTGCTGCTCCTCCCCTACTCCCTGCCCAGTCCACCCGGAGGTTTCTCTGTCTCCTCATCCTGCCTCAGAACCTCCTTCTGGGGAACCCCAACCACGGTGCCAGGTTCTGGGGGCGCCACGAAAGCCCCCTGTAGTGAGAGTCCTGGTGCAGGACAGGTTCCGACAACTGTCTTGAGATCACCCCTGTAATTTATGGGGGACGCTTCCATCCTCCCTCTAGAGGGAAGTCTGGGCGCAATGATGAACATGTTCACCAAAGCCACTGCACAGCAGGGCAGGATTCACCCTCACGACTGGTGACTGAAGCATGAGTCCCAGCTAGGGTAGGGACAGGCTTCTGAGATGGGCCCGCCCAGGATGGGGCAAGGGCAAAGGGTGCAAGCCAGGAGGGATGAGACACAGACAGGTGCTGCAAAGAGTCACAGATGGCCGGAGACATAAGTGAGGCCACATGGCCTGGAACAGGAATAGTACCAGGACTGTGGATCGGCTCCTTCCAAGTGTGGTGAGGAATGGCATCACCTCCCAGTGCCACGGGCCAGGTGGCTTACACAGAAGGAACATGTGGTCTCCAAGCTCCGGGGACCAAAAGTCCAAACTCAAGGTGTAGGCAGGGCAGCTCCCTCAGAAGGGTCATGGGGAGGATGTCTGGCTCCTCCCTGCTGTGTCTGTCTCAGGTTCCGGATTTGCGTCTTTTAATATGGACACCAATCACTGTACTTTATGGTGTACTCTAATCCAATATGGCCCATCTTAAATACTTATATGTGCAAAAAACCTATACTTTACTTTCTTTGGTTTCAGTAAGCTGCAGTCAGTTATGGCCTGAAAATATTGAATGTAAAATTTCAGAGATAAATTATAAATTTCATGCCATTCTAACTACCACAGCAAAATCCCACTCCACCCGCCCATCCACACTATATATGCTACCCACACGATAATCACTCGGCAGCCCTCTAGGTGGTCACACAGACTGATGTGGTGTCCTGGTGCCTGGGTCCAAGTAGCCCTTACACACTAGCCTGAAGCTACACCACTTCTTTTATTTTGTGCCACCTCCTAGTGTCACGAGTGGGACAAGCAGAGGACCATAAAGTATGCTGAGAGAAAAAAAGAAAGAGAACACATTCAAATAACTTTTACTACAGCAATTGTTAGATGGTTCCATTGTATTTGATTATTGTTGGCAATTCCTGACTTTGCCTGACTTATAAATTAAACTCTATCACTGGCAGGGATGTATGTATAAGAAAAATACAGTGTGCATAGAGTTTGGTACTATTTGAGGTCCCAAGCATCTACTCGTGGTCTTAGAATACACCCCCCATGGTTTAAGGGAGATCACTATGCCTCCAAATAAGGTCAGGTTCTGGGGTTTCAGGAGGATTCCAATTTGAGGGACACTAGAACCAGTACTAGAACCAGTAAGGCTCTATCCTTACCACACAGAGAAGGGAAAAGAAGGCCTAGGCCTTGCCCCAGACTCAAGCCTGAAGCCCAGATTCCCTGCCTCCCAGAAAAGGGGTTCCCTCAAAGACCCCAGCCAAAAGACAGTGGGCAGGGGGACCAGGCTAGAGCTCCATTTTCTCCTGGTTCTGTGGATTGCTCTTCTGTTGGAGGTTGGACCCACATAATCTCTGAGGAGCTGGTAGCCTCCAGGGGACAGATGTGGGACAGAGTGGCCAAGCCTGCATCCAGCTACAGCTCTGGCCCTCCCTGAACAAAGTTAGATTCACTATGAGGTGAACCTCAAGGAAAACAAGGAAGTGTGAGGAAGGCGACAGATGTCACCCGAATTAAACAGCACATCATGAAACCTCCCACAGCTGTTTTTTCCGATCCAATCGATGGCATGAGATTGAAGGTCTGTGGAACTCCCATTGGCAGCAAACCGGAAAGTAAGAAAGAAACTCAGGCAGGCAGAAGTGCCATATGCAAAGAAACCCCGGCATAGTGTGGATCCAGGTTGAATTCTGCACCCTAGAGACCACGCAAGAAGGCAGACAGGACAGAGAACACGAGGCCAGCACTCAGCGTGGGCCTTGCATCTCCACTCCACTGCTGCATCCTCACCAACGCTGCCTTGTGGGCCGGGCACTGGTGTCCAGCAGACTCATTGCACGGCACTGAGAAACTGAGTCTGGGATCGGAGCTGTGGGGAGGTCCAGGCCAAGCCATCCCAGGCGCTCACAGGTTCCGAAGGGCAGAGATCTGCAGGAGGACAGCAGGGCACGTGCCTCTGCCCTGAGATGGCGTAGGAATCAGAGAGGCTCTCAAAACCCAATTCACCAGTGGCTACAGGGAGACAGGGAGGCTCATGCGGAATAAAAAGGACTGACGAGTCTTCCGCATGGAATGGGGACAAGGGTCTGGCCAGACAGAGACAGAGACACGGCTTGAACTCTGGGGCCACTCTGACCGGGGCTGAGATTCCCTCTCTGCTGTGCAACAGGGGAACAGGGACTTCCCTCTCCGGGCCTCTGTCTGCTCGCTAGAGCTTTGGGGTTGCAGGTTCTGGAACAAGAAGAAACTGACGCTACCCCGTCTGGTGCTGCAGTTAGAGCAGCCTGAACAGACTCATTCAGAAAAGTGTCCCTGCAGACTGAACTAAGGGTCTCAAGATGAAGGCACTCAGGATTTGGAGACCTATGTCCCCATTTTGTGGACAGGTATCCACAGAGGGGTAAAGAGGAGGAGAGGACAGTCAGAGCCACAGGAGAGTGAGCAGAAAACAGGTGATGCAGCCCCAGGTTCACACTGGGTCCCCGCAGCTGCAGAGCCAGCAGGAGTGTGGGACAGGGGACCTCAAGCCCCTGCCAGGGACGGCCCTCCAAACGCACCTCGGTGTGGACATCCAGCTTCCAAACCAGGAGGCAACAGAGATCTGTTTGCCAAGCAGTCCGTGGCCATCTGTCGTGGCAGCCTAGGGGATGAACCTGGTATGGACATGGCCCCTGCTGCCACCTGCCGTGGCTGGGCGACGAGGGACCTGCTCCTGCTGTGCTGGCCCTACGTCCTGCTGCAGAGTGGGATCCATGGGACCAAGTGCAAAGAATGTGCTGCTCACAGAGGGGACCACAGTGAGGGCTTGGGGCCAGTGGACAGACCCACGCCTGCCACCGACCCAGGATCCCTGGCCTGGTGTCCTCCAGCTGGAAGTCCCACAACAACCACGTGACTGAAGTTTGTGGCCAGAACGGAAGCTCCCATCGTCACCACCAGTGGCTCTGCCTGGGTCCTGGGAACTCCAGCTTCACAACTAGAGGCTGGGTGTCCAGAAGCCCTGGTCCTGCTCAGCAAGGCTGCCTGGAGCCCATCCCACGGGAAGTTGCAGCCAATGAGGTGACAACAAGCAAGTCAGCCAAAGCCACGAGTTGCCTGAAACAGGCAGCCAATGAGCACCCTCGTCAGTCTACCCGAGCAGACCTCAGCGCCGTCACTCGCTTTGCTCTGTGCTGGCACCAATGAGTAAACACTGGGCAGCATGGGCACCTGTCCGTACCCTGAGCGTCAGAAGGTTGGGAACTCCAGATGGCAGAGGGCGGAGTTGTACAGTGCCCAAGTTTGCCCCGGGAGAGCCCACAATGCCAATTCCGGGCATGGGGAGACCGAAGGGGACCCTGGGTCCTGCGTTTTCCGAGGGGCTCAGGGAAGCCTTGTGCAGCCAGCCTCGGGTGTGACCTCGTGTCGCCTCCTCACTGGGCTGCACTTTCTTGTCAGGGCCCTGAGCCCAGGATCCAAGGGACACAGGACTGCGGAGCTGAGATCAGGGCCCTGCCGGACACGGGTGGCTCTCCTGGACCTGGACCGTCCCTCCTGCCTGCAGTTGGACTCCAACTCGGACTCCATTCTGGGTCCCAGACTCGAGTGTGCCCACTGGGTCCCTCCAGGCCTCCAGCCACCCTGCTCTGCAGCACTTAGCAGAGACTGGTAGCGGATAAGCAGCTGCCTGACTGCTGTGTTCAAAATCGGATGAAATGTCACCAAAGAGAGCGACCACGCTGGCCACCACTGTTCAAATGATTAGCTGATGGCAGACTGTCTGTAGGGAGAGGTTGCGACTGCCCAGCCTACATCCCCCTTCCTCCTGTGTGGTAGACACTTTTCTCCCAGGAGGCAGAAGGACCATGATATATGCACTTGGACTCAGGGTACCCACAGTTGGACCTACAATATAGGAGACATTAGTCTGCTGGAGGCATCTATGGAGTCTCGCTTTCTGCATAAAAAGCAATATATAGAGAGATTGTCTTCTCTCCACAGGTCTCTGTGTCCTTCCTACTTTGAACAGGGTTGTGAT